TTGTAAAGTATAGGGGGGTTCTAGTGTGTACAGGATAGGGCCTGTCAACTAGGTAAGACGAAGATGGCTCCGGAACCGATGTATTGTGCGAATAGTACAGAGACTGATTCTTGGGGAACTTTCAGGTTCCTAAGAATGGACTATTTATCATTGATAGGAGCGGGGTAGAGTGGCGGTCAGAGTACGCTCTGTGATCGACAGTGACACGCTGGCGAGAATCCGTCTCTATGACAGGACTTCTGAAGATTCAGGATCCACTCCGTTACATTTTTTTATATTAGATATAATAAGGGGCTAGTTTCATTTTAAAACCTATTTATATATTTATAATCAGATTCTAGGTTCTCTTAGGATTTTTTAAGGCTTAAGTTGATTATCATTATAGATATTAAACTTATTCAAAGGTTTTTCTATACATTTCAGTCAATTTATAGATGAATAGTGATTTTTAATAATAATTTGATTTCTTAGAACTGTTAAGACCAGGCCTATCTCTTCTATCCTAATATTAGCCCTTAATCTATTTGTTAGATCCTTTATATAAATAGTATCCGAACAAATGACTAAACTATTGTTGATATAAAATGTTGAAATATATTATATTTTTTCGTTTATATAAACGCCTTTATTATATAATAGTACCCTAAGCCCGAATTTATATGAGGGCTTTAGATAAGAATTTAGACTATAATCTAGAGCTTTATTTCAGATAGTAGTATTTATTGATATTATTATATACCCTTACAGGTAGTGTGGGGTATATATTTATATCTATATCGGCAGTAATAAAATTATCTATCCTTTATTAATAATAATAATCAATAGTATATAGTATATTTCCGTTCTATATATAGTATAGAAAGTTTCTAGAAAGTTAATCCTTAATCTTTAATTATATCCCTATATTACTTCTTTTTAGCTATTAGCTTCTGGTAGTATATGCTACGAGCCAAGTCTTGATAAAAAAAAGAGTGTATTTAACTAGAATACTAAACATGGGGAAAGAAAGAAAGAAAGAAGAAAAAAGGAACAACATGCTGAAACAATTAAGGTAGTGATGCCTGAGGCATCTAAATAAATAATGTAAAATACGAACTACGAAAGGCGGTTCCGGATCATTGACCCTGAATTCTTCGTGACATATATAGTGAATTATTTTCTTTAGATTGAATTTGAACTTCTATTCTTGATTTAGGAATAGTGGTTTTGTTATTATTACTTATATTGATAATTTAATGAATATTAAAGTCTTTATAATTATAATTATCTTAGATTTTAGATTCACAGAATTTATTTTTACAAATAGATATTTTTTTAGACTATAAACATTGTTTTTATTTAGGTCCTATACTTTATAGTGTCTAGCGTAATTATATCTTATTAGGGTACCTGTATGTTTTCTAGGTTCTAGTTTAGTTTTATAGGTTTTTATATAATAAGACGTAACTAATTTTTATATTTTAATATTATTAAGAAAAGGTTTACTAGAATCATATAACTTATATGATGTCTTTAAATTAAAAATCTAAAATGGGTCCAATAATACAAATATAAAGAAGCTTTTAAAGATTCTCCTTATAGATAAAATAGAGCTTTAGATTTAATAGAAATAGCGTTTAGTTTTATTATTAGGGTAAGTTAATTATTTTTATTAGATTATTTAGTTCTTTAATATAGGTAGGTTGTAATTTATATAAAATACTATATTTTATTAACACTATTTTAAATTTTTATTAAAGTGTTCTTTACTATTGTCTATAAAAAAATTCTTTTATTTAGTTTTTTATTTATTTTATAGGTAATTATAAGCTTGCTTTTCTTATTCAATGACAAACCCTAGATAAATCGAGTCCTATTATCTAAAAAGGCTATATAATATCTTTTATAATTATATATATTTAGCAAAGGACCCCCTAAATCACCATAAGTTTTTTCTTTCTTCTAGAATTCCTATATATTAAGGCTTTTTCTATTAATATATGATTTTGAATTTATTATAAGCAATTATCTTAATTAAATTTGATATTCAAGTATGAAATATTTACTAGACACTTATACTGTAATTCTATGTATATATATTTAAATTTTTATCTTTATCCAGATAAAAGTTCAGTAGTATATAAGTTACCTTTCCTTTATGAGTATTATTGATCATCTATTATTATAATGTATTACTTTTTCTTTAAACCTTTCCTTTAAATTTTATTTAGATTTTATTTAAATCTCCTTAACTTACTTTTATAATAGTTTTTAATATAAATTTAAACATTAGACCTACATATTAGTTCTTTTTGAGAATTAAATCTATTTTGCATTTTTCACTTTTTATTTAATAAATTACTATAATGAGATATCGGAAAGAATTATATCCTTTTCACTTTTGTTATTTTACTGAATAAGATTAATAAATATATTTTCTTTTTTGATTACATTTTAGGCTTAGTTTCTTTATTTTATAACTTACCCTTATTTTTATTAATTTTAATAGTCTTTAATAAGGGTTATAGCTTACTAAATCCTTAGTGAGTAACTTAGAATTAATAAGCTCAAGACCTTTCAACTAAAAGATTAGTTTGATAATACGTAACTAACATATCTTATCCTAGATTGAGGTAATTAAATAAGGGGATTCTTCCTTAAAAAGTTTCGAGTATTTAGTTACTATTATAGACCTAATAGCCTTAGTATATTAATATTTATAAATGCTAAAAATACCGATATCAAGAGGTTATAAGAAGTAACTTGGATATAGTAATTAAAAGAAAAGAATAATATAGTTTTTATTATAAAATTTACTAAATTATTGAATAAAATATAATCTAAACTATTTATATAAGATTAATCGTTTAGCATTATAAGTTTATTAATTCGTTTATTTGTAAAATCTTTAAATCTATTAAAATACTAAAACGTCGATTATATATCTACAATCGTATATAATAAAATATTTATTAGTTTAAATAGCCTAAAATTATCATAGTATTATCTATTTACTACTTAAAATAATAAGTGGTAAGTAGATAAAACCGTCTACTAAGACTACTTTTATTATTATAATAGATTTATATTTTATAATAAAACTATAAAATATTTTATACTTAACTTCTTAAATAGCAATCTATCAATCTTTGTTAATACTAATCTAAAAGCTAGCTTTATTAAAATTATAGATATTATTAGGTTAAATACTATTATTCACTTGAACAATCTAAGCATATTATTTGAATTAATTTTATACTACCCTTTTATTTATTACTTAACTTTATTCTATATCGAGGGCTTATAGCGACGTCGGTAATCTTAAGGATTGCGTTTTAAAACCCGATAAGTCTAATAGTCGCTAGCCTTTAAGGGAAAAATTACGGGATCGGTATACGCTTCTTTAATAATTAAATTCGCGGCAATAATAATAATCAAGAACTAGTTTATTACATAGTACTTTATTAAAGTACTATGTAATAAATTAGTATAAAGTAGACTCTTATATAACCTTCTGATTATTAGATTAGCGTTAAAATAAGGATACTTTTTACCGTTCTATGAATACCGAAACCGGCCCTTAGATACATTAAATTTACGCGTAGTTTTCGTGATAATAGGCTTAGATTGCTAGAATAAAGAATCTATTACTTCAGTAGCCTAAGTCTTAATTTTAGCGTTAACTTTAGGTATAGTAATAGAGAAACGAATGGTTAAATACACCCCCTATCGGAAAGTCTATACCTATCCGCATGTTTACCCTATCATTCTTAAATTTATATATCTATAAAACCATATACTACTATACTACCATACTACTATTTATCCTATTCACTTCTAATAAATTAGGTATAAACCCTAGGCTACCCTCGGTTGAAATTTAAGTTTAGTATTCAATATAATAACCTTTAGCCTTCCGCACCTCCTTATAACGTCTACCTATACTAAAAACGGCCTATTAACTTACTCCTACAGAATGGCTATCTAAGTAACTATTATATACATTTTAAGCACCTTCTAATCCTCCCTAGACCTTTCTATATATAAGCTCGGGAAATAACTTAAAAAGTTTAAGTTTTGACTACCGCTAAACGGGTTTAATCGGGTTTAAATCCGGTAAGTATAGAGGCTACTCCTTAACGCATATATCGTGTGTTTCGAACCACTCTTATCAAAGCTTCGCTATATAGATTCGCGCGTTATCTTATTAAAAGATATAACCCGATTAGTAGTCTCGAGTTAAACCTTCTTCGAGGGTAGTAATATATAAGATTATAGTATAACCGTGCTTTAATAATAGGGGATCGATCTCCTTCTCCCGCTTTATTATAACTAACGGTAACCGACTATTAACTTAGATTATACCTTAAACTATTTACGTAATTTCTTAATAATACTTTAGTATCTATAAGTTCCCTTCGGTAATCCTTTAATATAAAGCGCTAATACTATTACAGTCTAAAATTTAAGGTACGCTTACCGGAACACTTATCCGAGATTATCTAATTTCGAACGCTATTCCCCGACTATATACCCTTCTATTTTTAAATAAAGCGGTATCGACGGCGAGCTAATTAGCGTTTAATTAGGATTTCCAATTTTATACGGTATTTCCGAATACTGTATACCTTTAAAGTAGTTAAGTCTAACCTAGATATCCGGGTACGATAGTACTTAGCTTCTTATAGGTATAAACCGGATTCTAGCGGGCTTATAAATAGGGGATTGTTAATTCAACACCCCCTATGGCTAATGCAACACCCCTTTGGCTAATCTGACACCCCTTTGGCTAATCTGACACCCCTTTGGCTATTCTCACACCCCTCTTACCCGGTTCGGTAATTTTGATGCCTGTTAGCATTACAAATTCAGGCATTAATTATTTCTGCCAGATCTTTTTTGCAGGTTTGAATTCTGGTTTACATAGTTAGAAATGCACTTTTTTGGTCATAATTTCATGCTTAGTTCTGCAAATTAAATGCCTTTTATTCATACATAATCTTCATAACCTTCATTAGTTCATGAAACATCAACACCCTCGGCGCCCTCACCACCCTCGCCGTCGCCACTATCTCCTCGACCCCGACCCCGACCGCGACCGCGACCGCGAGCACGACCTGCACTCCGACCACGACCTACACCACGTACACGACCCCGGCTTACTTCCCACGATGACGGTTTACGGTGGACTGATCTTTCACTCGCAGTAAGTAGGTCCGGAGATGACTGTAGAGTCTGCGTCTGAGATTGCTGGGTGCTTGGTAAGTTTCGGGCACCTCGAGGGCGCCCCCGACGCCGTACACGAAGTGGATCCTGTATAAGAAGTGAGGGATCGATAGGGGGAGCAGCGCCGACACTATATAAGTGCCACTGTTGGTGGAAAAGGTCTGTTTCGAGCTAGCGCTTATTATCATTATATACTTTGATAATATGAATATATGGAAAGCCACTGGTCTGCTTGGAATTGCAATTGCATAATAGAGGGATCTCTAGCTTATTATCTCCCTCCGGGAGGAAGCGATCATATATCTCCTTAGTTGATTGAATTGCACGCACGGAGATACGACTATAAAGAAGCTGGTAAAGGCTTTTAGGTCGTTTCGGGATCTTGATCTTCTGGTTATCAATCTTATACTTGATCTTAGAGAATTGCCTATCTATAGAATAACTGAAACTGCGGAGCACGACGCGTAAATCATTGTTTGAGACTTGTAAGCCCTGATTAACGAACTAATGCGCAGACTCGGTCCGGGAAGTAGCAATCTTATTTAAACAGAGATATTGCGATGTGTGGATATGAAGAAAGCGCTCTAGGCAATCCTCGATCCATTCTTCCCGTATGTAATTGAGTAATGGCGTAAACAAGGGATCAGAGTAACGATCTTGAAACTGCTCCTACCGAGATTGATATTATGCGGCGGTAGTAGCATACACAACACAATTCCACCGTTGTAACATCTTCTTCTATCCTGCTTCAACTTTATCACGGTCCTCGTTCGCTTCGGCGGGTGTACGACGGCGCCTAGGCTGAATAGGATCGAGGCGAGCGAGGGCAACTTGGTCGGTAAGGAGCGGGCGAGCGATCTTAATAATATAAAATTAGTGGCTAGACTAGTGAGCGAGAGGGGGGGGGGGAAACCTTTATAATGTTCATATTAATATACTAAATACATATCATATGATTTGTGTCGGGAAAGATAGTCTTAATAGCATTATATAATGCCCTTTCCTTATCAGTAAGGATAGTTTGAGGATAAGTAAGATCTAATGAATTATAGACCTCGGCTAAACATATAAGCATAACCTCGTAGGTCTCTTCCTGCTCATCAAACATAAAGGCGAAGCTAATATAGAATATCTGGCCTATCGATGCGAAGCCTACGATATTAAGTAATGGCATGCTATACCGATTCGTCTTGTATGTACAGTCCATAGAGATGACCCAATAATGCTGTTTTAGCATTGACACGCCCGTTTTATATACACAAAACAACGCTGTTATATGGTTATAGGTATCGAGCTTATACTTAAAGATCTATAAGCCATCCTTAGGTAGCTCCATCAATAACGCCTGGATAGGCGTACGACCTGCGAGAAACAATTGATTCAATTTGAACCTGGTGTTGTAGATGTCGCGGGAGATAAGCGCAGTTCCTGGATCAGCATCACGGAGTTCAACGAGGATCTGATAGGTTGAGCGGCCGAGGTGGAGGGCACTATCGACCTTATATTTCTTATGTTTTAGTTCGAGAGCACGTTGAATAGGATGAGTTGACGCTGGCGACGGGGTATGGTTAAAGGACGGGTTCTCGATCGTGATACGCCAAAGATTTGCTTGTAGATCTAGACGAAGAGTCATAGCAAACGAGCATCCACAGCCAATAGTATTAGTGTTAGGTCGCTTCTTCGGGGGAGACCGATCCTCCGGTCTAGGCTGCCGGCCACGATCACAAATAAGATATACCGTCTTCTTCACCCCTTTCTTTGTAACTTTTGACCGAGTCGATAGTACCCCTATCCTTACCCTTTAATAACGCTATAATCTTAAAGTAAGAACAACGATATCTCCGTCGTTGTCGATCCGGTAATAAGAAGGTCCTAGATCAAGGCCGAATCGCTTCTCGTATCTATTTAATACCAAATAATTTTCTATAATATCTAATCTTTCCTATATTATCTTTAAATAGATAGCCTATCTTACTAATACGTCGGATTATATATCTGAACTAACGCGTTTCTCTCGTTAGTTAAGTTTCTCTTTACTTTATATTCTAATTAGCTATTAACCTTAATTAATACTAGCTATATATCGTTGATAATTTATAATAGAAACGGGTTTATGTAAGAGGATTACCAGGTCAAGGGTGATCAGCCTGTCAATCCGGTAAGATACGACGATAGATCGGTATTAAGTAAGTGGAGGAGCGTCAACGATGTGGTATTTTTGTACAGAGACTAATTCTTGTCCTTTTGTAAAGGGACCCGGGTTTGGGTTCCCTTTTATGCCTCTTTCGGACGAAGCTCCCAGGACACATTATCTCTGTTGGTATCACCAGTCATGAATCCATCTTCGTGAGTGACACCACGTCCGAATCCTTTTCGTGGACGGAATATCCACGTCACATGACCGGACCCATTGCTCCTCATCCTGCATAGTCTCATCAAAACCAACCAGGCAAAACCCAAATGGGAAAAGGCCAAAGGTTGGAAAGAGTGCTTGGCAGTCTTGGTAATCTGTGTCCCGTTGTATGGTCCAAAAAGACCGTTACAGTGTAATATAACCGGCTATACTACGTAAAATATTAAATATATATTAATTAGTATATCTAATTATATTGTATATAACGTCGGAATATTTATAGCTCGGTATTAAGCGCGAACTTAGTTAAACTTCTTCAAAGGGCTTTAGCTACGAATATTACAAAGACTTAGCTATACCTAATTATTAATATAGTAGATTAAAGCTACTTTTTATAATTAATTCGCTTACTCTTATTACTTCTCTTACGTAGCTGTAATCGCGGTATATACTCAATTAGTAGCTTCTTATAACCGTTTTATAAATAATTCGCTTATGGCTATTAATCGCGAAATCGTATTTTCCGATTTATAAATATTATTCTTAGTAATAGTTAAAGGGTTAATATAATATCTATAAGTAAAAGAAAAAGGTAATAGCCTTATTAACGCGCGGTTATAACTATTAATAACTATTATAGCTATTAACAAAAGACTATTTTAGTTATTTTACGCGTGAGTAATATATTTCTTAAGGATCTTTTTAATTTCTTAATTCGCTCTTTTTATAGCTTTATATGATCATAAATATAAGATAATAAAAACGCGGCGCTAAATTATTAGTTTCTTATAAATAATTCGCTAAAACCTACTTATGAAATATAGCTTAGTAATAAAGTCTATTGATATATCTATTTAAATTTACTAAAGAATTAGTAATAGTTTAAAAGGCTTTTCTTTATATCTCGCTAAATAAAGGATCTTATTAAAAATAGTATAAATAATAATATAAGAATTAGCGTATATCCTTCGTTATACTTAGTTAAAAGAACCTTCGCGATAATATTAAACAACTAGCGTTTTAGCCTAAATATCTAATAACATAAAAGTTATACATTCTTAAAATAATTTTCATCTTTAATAGCTTACTACTAAGGATCTATATCCGCTATGAAAAGTTTGGTAGTCCTCGCTTATTTAAAAAATACTTAGATAAGCTTATTTTCGTCTTTATTCTAATAAAGATTCGTTAATCGCCTTAATCCAGCGCCAAAATATATGTTTAATATATATTATTACTTAATCCTCTTTAGCTTTATTTTTAGTCTTATTTATTATATCTACCTTTCGCTTAAACATTATATTCTATTAAAATAATATATATTTTCTATAGTCTACTATAATAATAAATTAAAGAACTATCTTTAGCTTAGGGCGCTATTCTTTAAGTATATCAATCATTATAAGCAGCTTTTTATCGTAAATCTTGTAATTTCACTTTAATAATAGCTTTTCTAAGATATAAATATATAAAACTAACCTTTTATTACTTATCTTAAGGTATTAGTTTCGATAACTATCTTTTAACTATCTTTATAATATACTAGAATTAAAGTATTAATAAAGCGGTCCTTAAGAACCTTAAAGGTATATTAATAATCTTTATTCTATTAAAATAATATATCTTTTTTAATTCATTATACTACATAATAACGAACTAAGGTATAAACGAATAATATAGAAGTTCGCGAATGTCAAAAACTTATAAATGTTATAACGTATTCGGTATACGAGCTGCGCACCTACCATACATTGTTTATTTTAAATGCATTTATCTCAATCAAAACACCATCAATTTAAGAAATAGGTCTATCTGAATATGTCTCTCTTCTATGCCCTAGTGACCTATATATCCCACACCCCCTGGGAGGGGGGGGGGGGGGGGGGGTTAGTGTTCGAAGGTGAATATTAAGCTTTAAAAGTACGCGATCGGGACAAAAAGGCACTAAGACCAGCTGCTCCGAAACTATTTTTAATAGTATTAATTTTAAAGGCCTCGATTCGGGCGAGCGAATAATAGGCTTTAAGGAAGTCGAATTTGTCGGCTCGGTTAAATCCGAGACATATTTTTGTTTTAACAACCCTAATAAAAACCCTACTAAATATCTAGTTTAACTTTATTAATTAATAAGAACAGGTAATAATCTTTCTTTATAAGTAAATTTAGTTCTCAATAATTTATATAAAAGCGTAGTCTATTATCAGGTTTCTTAATTAATAATATAAATAATACTATATTTCTTTTACTTTTTATAATTTATTAAGTAAAAGTTTATATATAAATAATACCTCAACTATATTTTTACTTCAAGTATAATATTATATTTAATATTTTTTTAAAGAAAATTTTTATTAAGTCTTAGTATTTTATCAATAATATCGCTTGAATCTGATTTATCTTTAAATCTTATACGTAAATATACCTTTTAAAATATATTGAAAGAATAATTATATACGTAATAAGTCTAATTAGCTTATTATTAATTCTGTCTATCAAGTACTGTCTTTTTAACCTCTAGATTTATAAACCTTATTATTAATATAATAGAACTATTCAAGCTATATTAAGAAAATATTTTATTTTAATTTAATATTATATAGTACTAAATTAAAAAAGGAACGTTTATTAATTCTTAGCTTTATATTAAATACTAAACTATTATATAGACTTCTAAGTAACTTTTATAAATTTAAATAGATAAAGTATTCCCTTTTTCCGCTTAAAAGGAAGACTTCGCTTAAGTAAGTACTTTTCTTAAATCTTAATTTTGAAATTCTTTTAGTTTAATATAAGGGAGGGAGTTATAAATAAAAACTTAAGTAATTACTATAACGGTTATTAAGCCTATCTTTTTAAGATAATCGCGGATTATATAACCTTACTTCTTATAGTTAAAGTATTATCTTTTTTTTATTAGTATTTATCTTTTTATAAATAATGATAAACTAAATCTTAGGTTTTTTTTTAAATTTAAGTTATAGTAATAATAAAATAAAGTTATTTCCGGTATTAAAAATTCGTACTTAGTTCTTAGATTAGGGTTCCTATTGGATATTAATGTGAAGGGCTGTAGCTGAATTGATTCAATTAGGGCTAGGTCAACATGCTGTTTACATTCATCTTGAGGAAAGGAACTATCTGACGCGGGGTTCTCCATAATAACCCCAGGTGTGGGTCACGTGGTAGCACGTGATATCCAATGGGCTCTGGCCCGTGACAATTAACACTATAAGATAGGCTAACATAGATCTAGATAAATTTATTAAAAGATATTAATAATTTGTTTAATTCTTTTTAAGTATCACTTATATTTAAAGTAAGTATAGAAGTATAAGATAAAAGTCTTATCTATAGTTTTTAATCATTCTTTAACAAGCTATATAAAGCTAGCTTAAAAATCAGTAAAGTTCTCCTTTATTTTCTATTTTTAATTTATAGAACTAAGTATATACGTTAGCCTTTTTAAAGTTTATGAATTTTATTTTTAAATATACAAAGAGTAGCTAATTTAGGATTTATTTATAATATAATATATAGCTATATCTTTCCTTTACAATCACGTTGGATAAAAATTATTTTATAGATTAGATTAAAATAATAATCTATATTATTAATAAATAGCTTTTATTAGATTGTTATCTATTAAGTTTCGAAGTAAACTAACTTCCTTATTATTACTTACTTAGTATAAGAGTATTAGGTATCTTAGTTATTTTCTAAACACGAGAAATTATAACTATAGCCTTTACAATTAATGTATTATATTAATAGTTTCTTAACTATAATAATTCATATACTATTTTATTTTTAGTATTTATTACGAACTTTCCTTTTTACTTTATAACTATTAAATAAGCGATAGCTTCCTTATATTCTTTAGTAGCTTATTCTTAGAATTTTTCATTAATATTTTAACGCGTTATTATACCTTCTACTAAAGGAGGGTATTATATAACTAATAAGTCTAGATATAAAAGGACTAAACTAATACTAATACTTTAATTTTATCCTTAGATTAGTATTAATCGGTCAGAGGAAGGGAGGTTAAGTAAACTCGGGTTATATATAGTCGTTTCTTCTTTATTATTACTACCAATAAGTCTCGTTTACTAAATATAAGTTATACGGGGAGTCTTTTTCTTCGAATTAGCTATTCGTACTACTAATTAGTCGGTTTCATCGATCTTCCGGTTCGGTTCGGAGGTCTTAGCTCTATATTAATACTAAGGAACGGAAGTAGGGATAAGTAGGACTAAAACTAGTTATAATAATAGCTTATA